AAAATTTGACTTTCCAGTGCTGATGTTAGTCTGGTGCACACTGTAGCGGTGAATGCTGCCAACATTCTGAACTTTCTTGGTTGCTTTCCTCACTTCCATAGCTGCAATGAGAATGTTAAACTGACTGTATGGACTCTGTGCATCTCTATTTAGTTTGGCAAATAGAGAAGATCACAGTTCACAGGGGCTTTGCTATAAATATTTTTAAGTGTTGAAAAAATCAAGTTATGCAGATGAACAAAAGATATCTGGGGTTTGGGTTGTTTCTGGGATTTTTACTCAGTTTTGATTGGGCACCTAATTGATCAATGAACTTGAGAGCTAAACACTTCTGAGCCTGCAGGGACTTGTCTGCTGGTCTTTGTGTAATGTAGAACTGACTGCAGTGCTCACATAAATCTTCATTAAACCAATTTTAAAACCTTATATCTTTTATTGTTTTCCTTGAACAAGTAGTAACAAAAGGAAGTGAATATGTCTGTTGTCTTTTACCAGGAGAGTAAAGTTGTAGAGTGAGAACATGTTACCTCTCTGATGGAAGGAGAGCAAAAGTCATGTTGTGACCTGCTGCTGTTTGAGGTCTAAGCATGATAAAAATTGGACTTTGTTACAAAAATTAAGTTTGAAGTTGAATGTTGTGGATGGAGTTTTTGATGATTATAGGAAAAATAGGGTGGGTTTTGTTTATTTTTGTTCTGCTTTTTTGTGTGCAGAGGCTTCCTCTTGCTTCTGTTAGGTTAATTGTTCAGTGCAGAGCCAGCTCAACCCTTCCCAAGGGCATAGAAAGGACTGAGTGCTACTGTGCCAAGGATGGGGACAGATTAATTTTTGGAAGAGGTTATCAGTCTGGTGCTACTTCTACCTCCACAGTCTCCTAATTCCCAGTGAAGACTGACCCCAAATGACCCTCTGCTGTTTGAGCCCCCGTGTGTCTGCTCCATCCAGAGGCCGGTGAGCCCAGCAACTGCACTGCACAGCCCAAACGCCGACTGTACCATGCACGCTGTTGCTGTCTGGGGCTGGTGTGCCCCATGGTCACCTTACAGCCCTTTGTGCCCTCCACCAGTGCGTGGGAGGATGACCTGGGGCACGGCCGGGTCCAGCTGCAGGCCAGGAGTCTCTGGTGTGCCTCTACCTGTCTGGGCCAGAAAGTAATCCTAAACGTCACTTGTATCTGATGCCCCCACTGCTCCCAGGGCTCTGCCAGTGCATGTCACATATACTGATGTGACTGTTAGGTTCGACTCTTCACTGCATCACAGTTTCTTTTATGACCACAATGTAGAAATACTCTTATGAATCATTAAATGTCTGACAGCCAGTGTTACAAAAATAAAAATCTAGAAAAACTTCTACATATAATTACTCTTGAAAACCACTTACCCTTCAGATAGACTCTCACCATCATCTTAATATTGACTTTTAAGCTCTGATGAAGCTAGTCATGGACAAGATGTCGATTTCTTTGTTACATTTACAGTAAATGTAAATATGATGACAAATGCAAAGCTGCAAATTGTATTCTGACCTTAACTGCTTCAAAGATTTGGTCTCAATCTAATATCAAGTTTAGGGCAAACGCCATATACTGTCTTCAGGGACTGCAAAATAGTCAAAATGTATCTGATGTATAAAATAACAAACTTCATTTAATAAGTTATTAAGACTAAAGATTCTCATGTACATGATCCTGCTCAAGATAGTAGGATTTATTGCAAGATTAAGTAAGTCCTCTTTTCTCTGAATGACGATTTCATAATAGAAAAATCCTTTTAAATAAGAAGTACCATGTGAAGAGTTTTTTTGCTTTGAACCACCAGGTGAATATACTGGATAACAATTCACACAGATCTTTTAGGGAATATATAATTTCTGAGGAAAACCAATTTGTTGAAGCATTCTTTTGTTTATTGTAGTGACATAGTCAGCTCTTTCAATGCCTATTGACTTCATGGCTTATTGTTAAAACAACGATTTATTTTACTGGAGTGTTAACAGATTAAGATCCTGTGAAAGCAACTGAGTGAAAAACTCAAAAATCTGTGGGAAAACCTTTCACAGTGACAGCAAAATAATTTCAGTCAGAATCAGTAAAAGTATGAAATCATTGCCTTTTACTTAACTACTCTTATGCAGTGCCCAGGGAACTGGGTTTAACTGTGCTTTGCAAATCACTGTGCTATCATAAGTTAAACAAAGTCTTACCTACTCAGATGAGGCCCCAAACTCCAAGATACTGTTAACTTGTCTTAAGTAAATACAGCCTGCTAACAATTTACTTCCTTTTCTGATGCTCAGTATGTGGTGGTTGTATTTCTTTTAATTTGAATTAGTTTCTTATTCACAGTTAATAGAACATGTTTTATTTAGCTACCAGATTTGTTATATATTGCTGGTTACTGAAATTCCTTCAACTATGCTGGTATCTTTCCCAGTGTAGAACACCTCTTTGGTACACAGATTTTATCTTTTGACAAAAGGAAATCTCCACTCCTGTTCTTTTAATGAGCAAGAGAGCAAAATAATTTCTTTAAGAAGTCACTCAAAAGGGCAAGGACAAAATTTTTCCATTATGATAGATCAGTGTTTTCTGAGATCAGATTTCAAATGTGTAATCGCTGGCTTTCAGTAACTGTGAGAAGATAAAATTGCAGATTAAAAAAAAAAAAAAAATAAAAAAAAAATAAATGGATGGAGGAAATCAGTTTTTTTTTTTCAAAAAAAAACCCAACAGGTGCCAGGATCTGCAGTGTTCTCTGTACAGGCACACTCACAAACTGACCACCTAGAAATGAATGCTTCAGTGACATGGACTGATCAACTGTAAAAGCCCACTTTACTGATGACTTTTTGCATTGGCTTTTGTATGTTCAGGCTGTTTTTTAGACAAAGTATCCTCCCATAGAGGCTTCTGAATGGGTTACATGAAGGTACTTTACAATATCTTTATCATATTTTTATATATTATTATATAATATATAATATTTTACTACACAGGAGTAACAACTCCTCTGCTCCTACTTCTGATGTAATGCTCTAAATGGTTTAGTCAGGCAGCAGAAGGAGACTATTTGTCTAAATTTCCATAAGTTTAATTGTATAGGAAACCCATTTTCTACACTCAAGTTTCAACAGGTTCTAAAAGAATGTGGGCCTATACTGAGAGTAGGTAAATGAGATTAATCACTGCAGCCCTGTAACAAGGTTCTTAAGCAAAGTCTGCCACTAGGTTTCACAGGTGCTTTCATTGAACTTCCTCGGGCATAAAAAGGTTAAATGTAGCCCCATAGTAAACTGGTTTTACAACTCCTATAATTAATGTGAAACAGTATCTAATTTTTTATTCTTACATTAAAAAAAAAAAAAATAAGAAAAATCTTTACAGTAAGTATTGTCAAGGACAAGAACAGGTTGTCCTGCAAGGTTGTGGAGTCTTCATCCATGGAGACATCCAAAACCTGACTGGACACGATCCTGGACAACCTGCTGTGGCTGCTCGTGCTTTGAGCAAGGGGCTGGACTGGAAGTTTCCAGATGTCCCTGCCAGCCTCAGCCCTTTTCTGTTTCTGTGACTAATTGGACTCAGCAAAAGAACATTTGCTTATGTGATCTGAGAATTATAGTTGCTAGATTTGTAATGTAATCTGTAGTAGTCTCTATGCATAAACTACCATAATTTCTCCTTAATTTCTAATTTAAACTAAATGCTCATGCACTCTCTTCAGCTTCTCCCCTACTGAAGGCAGAAAAGAATGTGACCTTACTGCATGTGTTTTTAAAAATACCGTAGTGAAATACGTTCTAATATTCCTTTTAGAATGATGCAATTGGAATGGCATTATCGAATATAGGACATTGAAAGATAAATATAAATATACTTAATTCCAAAGTCATTCATACACTTCATTTGCTGCTGGGTTTTTTAATATCTTATTTAAAGAAAAAGAAGTACAACTCAGAATTGATAAGACTGATTTCTATCTGACATGTTTGAAATTTACTTTGCTTTGAAACTGATGGTTTCACCTCAAACTTCTTATTGACCCTTTCCCCCTTCTCTGTGCCTGAAGCCTTTCCCTACCCCAAGGAGCACTCACTGTCCAGTTTCTCTCAAGCCCACATACTCTGCACCTGCCCATGGTCTTCCTAATTCCTCTCCACTAGCATTTACTAGCTTTGACTGCTTTTCTTTTGTAGAAACCACCCCAAACCAGTACAGCCTGTGGTCCCTCGTGGGCCTTGCAGAGGAGGTTTCTCTGGGAGGCCAGCTGGGGTTTCCCATTGTCAGGACCTGAAGGCAGCCCTTGTACTGCCACCTCCAACTTTGCCCAGGCACATGGGACAACAGCTTCCCTGCAGGAACACAATCGTAGCAGTATCTGGCAAAGGAGAAATAACAGCTTCAGTCCACTTATGCCCTGAAGGGATGAAGCACTCATGTGTGATGGAAGCAGTCTGTGTGTGTGCACTGGGTCAGCACCATTTTCTTACAGAAATGATGAGTGCCTGAACCCCTGGTTGGATTTTTTTTTTTTTTTTTTTACCCCCAAAATAGAAGTTAACTTACAGGGTGGCCAGGTCAGTCACTGAGATGGGCACTCACATATGACACAGCAGCCAGTTTGGTTGTACCAAAAATGGGATCCTTCACTTCAGATTCCCACAGAACATTACAGCAGAAAATGCTGTTTGCTCTAATTAAATGTGACTAAATGAAATCCTTCTTGGGGACAAAGCAAATCTCTCACAATCACTTTGAGTAGTGAAGGCCACTGTTGTCATTAGACAGAAGCATCCCAGGACTATCATATGGTCAAAAGCTGAGAAGCAATTCAATTGCACCACTTGAAATATCACACTCATTTTATAGTTTATTTCCCTGTTTGTGTCTTATGGGAATGGTAAATTCAGGACTAATTCACTAACTGCCAAATACAATTTCAGGCACCAGATTTGATCTCAGTTAGCACAGTTCTTGTCACCCTGATTTTGTCTTACAGCTGGAATTACCGTAGGCATATTACACAAGTGCTGTTAGTTACACGTCCTCTTCACCTCGCTGACTGTATGTTCCCTGCTCCGACCAGACGCAGTTTAACAGCTGGAGGCTGTTGTACTGTCTACGAACTTACCTCTTCATATGAAGTGTTAGTCAGGAACACCTTTGCTAAGGAGGTAAGTCATGTCTCAATTGTGGCCAAGAAAATTAAGACTGTAGTAGATCAGATGTATGAGATATGACGAACAGGAGCTTGCATGTGCTCCAAGTTTATCAACAAACTTTCAGTATGTGGAAATCCAGGAAAAGGACTTTGGCACTAATAGAAAACAAGACCTTAATAAAAGGAGCTAAAGATCTTGTGATGTGTTGTTGGAGAACAGCTGTCTTTAAATGGAGGCTACAGACCTGGGATGCTCCTGTTCTCCCTGTGCTCATACGGCAATGCCTTGTCTTTCTAAATGTATCTGATATGGATTTCAGAAGAAAGCCTCACAACAAAACTGAAAAAAAAAAAAAAAACAAAATCCATGTCTGTATTATTTGGACAAAAAAAAGCCCTGCAGTGCAAGAGGGGTAGCAAATGTAGAGCAAAATAACAAATGCAAACCTGTGATTTTGGAAGAAGTGTAACTGCTGTAAGTTGTAATAAGATAGCATGTCACAGATAATAATTTTCAGTGATAAAGTTGACCTGCTAAAGAAAAAAACCAAGCAACCAAGGCAACATATGAATATTTTTTAGATTTCTAAACAAAGAGGAAGCACACGATAAAGAAAAAATAATGTATTTAAACTGTAACCAGAATCATAACTCATACAAACAACTTGAAAAATATGACAGCATAAAATAACTGGAAACAATAGTTATCCATTCTTTCGATGGATGTCAATGTACAGTCAATAGATTTGTAACTTAGAGAAGTCCAGATTGTACCTTCTCTGTTGTATGTTAAATTCGGAGTTCTAGTTTCATTCTGACACTAAGAAGAATTTAAAATCATGTGTAATTTCCAGTAACATAATATTCAAACTTGATTTTAAAATTGTGGTCCAGATCTTCTGCTGTGGTATGCAGGCAGTGGAACTATGATGAATCATGCCACACAAGGACCAGCTGGAGGCATTTTAATGTTGCTGTATGTTGATTCTTTTTATTTTTGACACTTGGAATTTTTAAATATTCCTGTTGAATAAGTATTATTTTGTGAGTGTTTTTGTTACCAGATTTGATCTGTTTAAGCACTGTCTCCTTTTCAACTGAGTATATACTAACTGTTTAAACATACTTCTGCTATTTTGGTTACGGTAAGTAGGAGTTTGGGGTTTTTTTAGTTCAAAATATTCTGAAATTTTCTGATGCATAACTCCTTTTGCCAGTGTCCAGAAACCCTTTTAATTCCATTCCAGCATACCAAAAGATTTTAACCTGTTTTAACAAAGAGTTTCATGTACAAACCAAAGCAAATATAAACTCAGGAGATTGTATGGACAGGTAGTGTTACTCATTTTTGCTCTCATTCCAGCTCCTGTTTATTCATGTGTTCTATATGTTGTGTGTCCAAAGTGTGAACTCTCCAGTACAGGAATGGGATTGCTTTTATATGTTTGATTCTGGTTAATACTCCAAGGCTCTGATTAACAATTATGGTCCCCAGGTATTATCTCACTTACAATACAGCTGAATGATTTCCATATTCTTGGGGTATCCAGCTAAGTTTGTGGAATAATTACTGACAGCCCTTTAGAACAGGACTACTGGAATAGCTGTTGCAGTATTGTGTCACATTAGGGCATAGAGATGACTTGAGTTACTCATCTTGGGAAACGAACATAAGTAACCCTAACTGCTTATGATTTTTAGAGTGCAGATACAGTCAGTCATTTTTATCAGAAATATATGACTAGTTATTAATTTTCCTGCTTTCTGTTGTCATGCTCTACTGATTTTATTTTTTTTCATGTATTTACAAACTCTATATTTAAAATACTGTTGTACATCTTTGCGTTTTTAGTACTAAAGCTGTAGTTATAATCATTACACCTTCATCAGAGATAAAATTTATACTGTCTCTGATAGAAGCTGAAATGCCACTGAATAATATAGGAAACTTATTTAATTTGGAGATTCATTTCTGAGGCCATAAGCTAGCCTGAGAAGTGGGCAGGGGTTTATAGTGCAGTTTCACTGCCCATTTTACAGCTACTGTGGTCACCCAGTGTTAATCTTTCCAGGGCTGCCCTCTTTCAAGAAAGCAAGTCGGGGGGGAGCCTCCCCCTTGCTGTGCTCCCAGCAGCAATAGGCATGAGGAAGATGACTCCACCCTCACTATTAACAGAAGTAAAGCTTAATTTTTATAGTGCTAAAGGTCAGGGAGGGTTCCAAGCAAGTGCTTCGTTTTTCCCTGCAGAGTAGGGATGATCTGAGGGGTATTTCGGCACTGCTGTTGGCTGCTGCAGAAGGAAACCTGCAACTTCTGTAGCTGGGTTTTATTACAGATAAAGACACAGCTGCAGCAGGACAGAGACAGGAGATTACTGGCAGAGAGGGGCAGAAGTTCTCTAAGATATTTTCTCACTTATCTCTGTTCCCACATTCACTGCACTAAACTTTCCTGTGACCAAACCTTATTTCCTGGACTATTACTGGAAAGCAGAAGCATGGAGAGTTTCTTCACACTTATGCTGCAGACAACAAATTTCTCCTTTTAATCCTGAATATTATTTATAGATTAAAAACTGCAATATTATACAATATTATTTTTGCTAGTGAGAGAGAAAAAAATGGATGCATTCAGAGCACCTGAAAATGAGTCGCTGTTGTCCGGTTCCTCTGGTCCTGCCAGATGGGATCCCTTCCATCGTCCCTTGGACTCCATCCAGTCCTGGCACTTCAGGCTTCTGGCAGCAGTAATGTTGGTGGTGACCTCCCTGTCACTTGCTGAGAACCTGGCCGTAATCCTGGTAACTTTTAAATTCAAACAATTGAGACAACCTGTCAATTATGTTATAGTGAATTTGTCTGTGGCTGATTTCCTGGTCTCACTGACTGGTGGCACCATCAGCTTTTTAACGAATCTGAAAGGTTATTTTTATATGGGATACTGGGCTTGTGTACTGGAAGGATTTGCTGTCACATTTTTTGGTAAGCTTGATTTTGTTTGTAGTTTTATGTTCTTTTCCTTTAACTTCCTTCAATGTATTCTACTAGCTATCCTGCAGCTTCCCAAGTCACTGACTTTGAACGCCTTTGAACTAACCGATTCTTTCCCCAGTTAAATATATTTTGTAGTGGATCTCATGTGTGAGTGAATAAGATATATCACTGTCTCTGTCATATATCAGTGGCTTGCCACATGTATACTGATCATTGAATATGTTTGGTATTATGAAGAAAAGCTTAATAGAGTAACAGTGTTGTTGGGGGTTTTGGTAAATGTCAGGAAAAAAATTCACTATGTGTAACTATTTTCAAGGTTAGGTGTGTGCATATATGGATTAATAAGAGAGAAAGAAAAAACAGTGGCTGCTCTTAAACTGTGGAAAATAGCAGGGCACAAAAGCATCTTATGTTAGCTACCCTCCAGTGGTTCTGAGGAACTGTGACATATCTGTAACAGTCATTCTGCACACCTACATCTTTTGTGTGATTCTTTTTCTTGGCTTTGTTTTACTAACTACACGAAAAGTATTAGAAGTACTATAAAATGGAATATCTTCACCACATATTTCCCTGTGTAAATATACCTCTGCAGAATAAACAGGAAATTAGTTTAAAATGGGGCATCTATTTGCTTGAGATAGACATTCATTCCTATCTCCCTTTTCCTGTATCTGAAGCTGCGTAGTAAAGACAGCCTTCTAACTCTTGTCAGTGCTCTAAATCAAACATATTGCTGATCCTCAGCATGAAAAGGAGTCCCATTGTTGCTCTCAGCCTGGTTAAGCTACACAGAGGGAATGTTGGTGAGGGACAATGCTACTAAAATAGTTTATGGCATGTAAGCTATGTGCCATGGAGAAAGACCAGGCTGTTTCAAGATTTTGATGGCCAACCAGGTGATATGTGCCTAATAAACTGATAATTTGATGTTGTAGGCAGCTGTCTGTAGGTTAGAGTTTCACAACAGTCTGAAATATGACATTGCCTGAAAAGATAGTGTTTTGAAGAGGTATCTCAATTTGTTAATTTGGAAGCTACACATAATTTGCAGCTTTTCAGAGTAGAACCAAGTGGGAAAAGAAGTCATTGTCAGTCAAATGACCTGATTAACTGATTGGTTTTGTAGTCATTATACAGTAGACTGACAAATTAGACAAATATGAAAATCTTATGCCCTTAATACATATCAGAATAATGTACATAAATTGCACATTATTTCATAACTTGGGTTGATGGAAATGTTGTCTGATGTGTAGTGGGTGGTCAAACACTGGGACAGGTTGCCCAAAGTGGCTGTGGAGTCTCCATCTATGGAGATATTCAAAACCCAACTGGACTTGGTCCTGGACTACCAGCTGTATGGACTGTACTTGAGTGTATGTGTCGGGGTGTTGAACTAAATGACCTCCAAAGATGCCTTTCAACCTAAACAATTCTGTGATTCTGTGATGTGGGATGGTGTTTGCTTTTCAGTGAATCTACCCAATTTTTGATGCTGACTGTGTTTTCTTACTATAGGCATTGTTGCTCTCTGGTCTCTTGCTCTGTTGGCTTTTGAGCGGTACATTGTGATCTGCCGCCCCATGGGAAATACACGTTTGAGGGGAAAGCATGCAGTCCTGGGTATTGCCTTTGTGTGGACCTTTTCCTTCATTTGGACCATTCCACCAACAATGGGTTGGAGCAGTTATACCACCAGTAAGATTGGAACTACTTGTGAGCCTAATTGGTAAGGCCGCTCTTACAGAGTATGGTAAAGAAATGAAACTTGCAGCTCAGGATGTTATAGGGGCAGGAATTTAAAGGAAAGGCTTAAAGATGATGTATATCTCTGCAAAAATAGGCATAAAGAAAGTTTTAACAAAACTGAACAATATCTGCCAAGGACAGATTTTTAAAAAAAAAAAAAAAAAAAAAAAAAAAAAAGATTATAAAGGGAGGAGCTTCCATCTCCAATGAAAATAACTATCCTATACCCTGTGCATTTTGTCAGGATTCCAGGAGGACAGAGACAGATTTTTTTGAGAAGATTGGACAAAGCCCTGAGCAACCCGGTCTGACGTCATAGCTGACTCCACTTCGAGCAGTCAGTTGGACTACATGTCCCTTCCCACCTGAACTGTCCCTCAGGTCTATGATACTGTGCTTATGGTCATAGGGTCCTGTCCTAGCTCACGGCCCAGGACTCCATCTGGTGGTATGACTAGAGCTTTAAAAGGGCACTTTAAATAAAAGCAGTTGACAAAAATACTAGTGACAGTGTTGAAGAGCAAAATTAATACTTCAAGAAAATAATAGCACATTTTAGTAATGCATACACAATGTATTTTGTGTTTTATACAGGTACTCAGGAGCTTATATTGACAATACATACATTATTGCATTCTTCAGCACCTGTTTTATAGTGCCTTTATCAGTGATTCTGGTATCCTATGGAAAACTGATGCAGAAGCTAAGAAAGGTAAGAAAAAGCACTTAGAAGTAAACTCTTTAAATAAGTATGTATTCCAACATTTGAAATTTTTGTATCCAATTTTTCTATAAAGATCAGATATAATCAGATCAAATTTCAAGGTAGAAAATGCACTCAGTTATCATCCCTTGTTATATAATTCTCCTTACACACAGAAATTCATGCTATGGTTAGAAATGATTTTTCAAAGTGTGAAGTTTTATTCACTTATCAGTATATCTCATTAGACAAACATCATACAAATGAAAGAATGTCTGCCTCATAAATAAACTGAATGATCCAGTATTGGTTTATTTACAATTGTACTTCAGTTCAGTGATGTTTCTTAAGACTTGAACCATGTAAATCAGGATTTAGCTTAAATGGCTGCTTTTGTAGATTTTAGCGTGCTGGCTAGTACTCTATAACATTTAAATGCAGAATAAAATATAGCATTTGTAAATAATGTAATGCTGTTTACTAAATAAAATATTAAATTGTCCAGAAATATTTTGAAGACTTGAGAAATGCTTTTGAATTTATTTAATGATTGTGTTGACCTGATCCAGAAGAGAATCTGCAAAAAGTGAAAAAAGAGACAATAGAATAGGAAAATTCCTATTTGGGACAAGATTTGGGGACAATATTTTGGGATGATACTGTTATTTCTATTTACTGAAAAGCTACCTTGTCTTATTGCTTCAGTAAAATATTCAGTAAGTTTATTCAATTTACTGTTTTTAAAGTATTTGGGATAGCCAAATGTTTGTATTTATTCTGAGCATCGTTTCTTCTAAGTAAAACAAAACAGAAGAGAAATGCAAAAAATATTTTTATTTTCTCATCAGAAAATACAGATTGGAACATACATACTTCAGGTGACATTGTGATTTCTCTAAACAGAATTTTCTTGATTTCCTCCAGGATACATTTAGGGGAGAGAAGGTTAAATGGCTGAGAGGCTGATTTCAATATTAAACACAAGAAGTTTCCCAGGTTGACTGTGAGCTGCACAGGCACATGGTTGCTCACAGCGCTCAGTGTCTGTTGGTGTGAGGGTGGGGGACATGAATTACAAGGTACAGAGATTCTTGAAGAAAATAATTGCTCATGACTCAGACCTCCTAAGACAACTTGTAAAACTATGATTCTGTTATTCTGAGTATCCAGAACTTTTATTAGGATTTTATCTTTCCCTGCCCTAACCTACCTGCAGAGGGAATGGAATGGAGAGAGAAAGCAGAGGGGGCCGGACCTCCCTGCTGCTGATGCAGCCCTCTCAGTGCTGCCCAGGAGGGTGATGCTCTCCCCAGGGAAGGAGATCTGCCCTCTGGCTTGGAGGGGGGGCAGCCACCCCTGTGGGGCCCCGCTTCTGTCTGGTGGCAGTGTACCTCCATGCAGACCGGTGGGCATGGGCCCTGCCCTGCAGGGCTGGGAAGGGGCCAACTCCAGGAGACTGTCCCCGGGTGGGAGAGCCCATGAGGCGGCCCGATGTGAAAGAGCGGGATGTTAACCCAGCAGATGGGGTGGGATGGAAGCATGCAACACTGTGATGGGTATTCCAGAGCAGTTGCTATTGTGCTACTCAGGTGCTTCAGGAGGTGCACAAAAAAAGGGCCGTTTCCTTCCTCTGGGACAGCCATTTTTAAGAGGCAGCAAGATAAAAACAAAGCAGGTGAGATGAGCAACAGGGGAGACAATGAAGGAAAATGTCACCATCAGCCACAGCAGAAGCTAGTGAATGGTCCACCCTGCCCTTTGGCTCAGGTCATGATGTCTTCTGGAAGACTGATCTGTGCCGTGTAGTGGGTCCCAGCATTGGCCTGGAGCCACTGTAGTGTGATCTTGCTAGGCTGACTTTCTCAGTCGTCTCTCTTTTCCAGGAAGACTAGCAGTAATAGTAAAAAAAAAAAAAAAAAAACAACAAAACAAAACAAAACAAGAAAATAAAAAAAAAGAAAAAAAAAAAAACAAAAAACAAAACAAACAAACAAAAAAGCCCACTCTTCTTAGTAAGTTGTGCGTTTTACACTTCCACTGCAGCTTGGTGACCTGACAAACCACACAGCCAGGAAACATTGGAGTGGCCTCGGGGCGCCTCATCACAAATGATTTGGCTGTAACCATCTGGCTTGTGCCAGTCCTTGCTGTTGGCTTTTGCAGAGATGTAACTAAGTTGGCCTGTGTTACTTACAACTGCTTAAAATACAGTCTGGTGTGGAAAAGCCAACTGCCTGCAATACATTCTGTTAATTTATAATGAAGGCTATATTTCACAACTAAACTAATTTTTTAAAGTTTGACTATGGTGAACAGAGAGAGACCCAGGCACCAGAACTGGGGTCTTGATGTTCCCAACCAACCCTCATCCCAGATTTTGACTGCCATGTCTCATGGTTGCCACAGTGCGGACTTGGTCCTGAGTGGCATTGCTTTGTCTTAATAAAGTCTGCTACTCCCTCAGTCCCTGTGACTCCAGATTTACAATGCAAATAGTTTTCACTACAACTGCAAAACTAATGAAAGAAATTAATCTTTAGGAAAAGATCTAATTAACAGTTTAAAATGGAGGTAAATTAGTATGGCTGTATTCCTTTGTTTCTAAGATAATGCCACCAGTACATGCTTCCTTATCAGTTTCATTTTCTTAGATTTAGAGAGAAAAGAATCTACTGCCATCCATGAGAACCTGTACCTGAGAAAAAGGCTAGGCTGATATGAGACAAAGACAAAACAGTCAAAAGCACAGTCTGGGAGCTTGTGTTCCTTCGTGTTTGTGACTGCATTTCTGCTGAAAGGGAAGCTGGGCTGCTCTCTGTGTAGGTACAGTGTATATGAAAAAATGCTATAGACATATCATATATTGGCAGGGAATGTCTTAGCTTTGCTCAGCACCTAACATAGCCTTCGTTGATGCCTAAGATCTTGCTGATATTATGACAATTCACTATTATTGTTGTTGTTGTTGTATTTATTGTTTGTTAAAAAATGACATGAATTACAACTTTCTACAGAGGTAAGGCCACCCTCCCTGCCCCCAGGAGTGCTTCTATACCTCTGTAAGTACTAAATATGTTAAATTATCTGAGTGCAGTACAAGGGTTATTAGGGAAAATGTCTCCATTCAGTTCTAATGTTACTGTGGAAAGGTAAAAGGCCATATTACACTAAAAATTCTTACTTTATTAGCATGCATTACTGCAAGGCTTGGCATCAAGTTTTTCTAGAGTCATGCAGAGTTATCATCAGTTACTTTCCATGTAAGCTAACTTTACGTAACAGTGTCTTGTTTCATTAAGTTATCAGAAATAAAACAGGGATGTTTCCCAGAAAGACACTGTTTAACATCCCATAACCTGTGTATCAACACCTCTGTCCAAGCTGCTTACATGATCAATGAGGGGAAGAGGGGGAACATTCCTGCTAAATGCCCCAATCCCACTTTAATTCTGGTGTTATTAGATCACAGATGCTCTTCTGGTGAAGGCCACAAAGCACCACAGGGCTTTCCAGACTCTCATGCTCGCTGCTGCTGGGTCTGCTCTAAACTTCACCCATGGCAAGGAGGTTGCACAGTCACAGCAGAGTGCGGTCTTTAACACCCATATGGAACACTCAGTTGTCTGCAAAGGCTACATGAAAAAGAAAGTGCTTGAATTCAGGCTCAAAATCTGCTTATGACTCACCAAGACGGCCTTCTTTTTCAGTAATTGTCACGATCATGCTGTCAGTTAAACTGTTGCAATTACTGTGGGTAGCCATAATGGTAGGGGTAGATTGGGAGCTGGCTGAAAACTTCTCAAAAGGTTAGCCAAAGCTGAATTTTTACACTCTCTGGATGTGGTGGCTAGAGGCTGTCCAGGGCTCAGGTACACCAAGAGGCGGCAGCAGGAGCGAGCTGGGGAGACCAGCTTGGTGTGAAGCCTTGGGAGCAGGTTGGGGCACAGGGACAGCTCAGCCTCCTTCCCTGCACCACCTCTCCAGGGGTTATTTCCCCTCTGCTATGCCGACCGCAGCAGTCACGTGCCTGTCTTTCCGCATTTTTGGCAGAGAAAAGCCTGTGGTCCAAGGCAAGAGCTTTTACTTAAAGCCAGCCCCTGGCAGTGGCCTGAATGAGAATTTGGAAGAAAACTGAAACTGTTGAGACTTGTAAAAAGGTCTCAATAAGGACAATGCTGTGCTTGGGCCAACTGGTGCAAAAGAGTTTTGTAGATAAGGTTAAAGCTTGTTGGCTGTAAGGCTGGTTCAAAAGTGTATTTACTTCTCATGTTTGCCTTGTTATGGAGTTGTGCTTTTCATTATATTTTGCTGCACACAAACTGATTTGTCAGGATAGCAGCAAATGAATTTCACAAAAAAAAGCCAGAAAAGGGAAAGAGAGTGTTACTGCTCCTAACAAAATGTTCTCTGGTCAGCTTTCCCACAAGCCAGGAAGTCTAGCTTTATTAGGCTTTGTGCAGAACCGAGGTAAGCTGAGGTAGCTCCATTGAAGTTAGTGGCGTATGGCAAGTTGTATTGCCCCAAAACATAGCCCTAATTTCTGCTTCATGTTTTTAGAGGTAACTTACTATGATCGGTTACTGCCAGTCACTCATTCTGTTGGGGTCATTGTATTCTTTTATTTGGCACTGTTAAATAGAGGCCAAATCTTGTCTCTGATTTGACTAAAATCATTAGGATTACTTTTCTTACATATGGAATTTAAAGGTATTTCTGCACTGACTTGGGGTGGGCTGCTGCAGGACCCATGAAGCTACCTGATCTAGATTAACTTTTGTAAGGCTGGACAGTACCTGTGCCATCATTTTGCTCCTTGTGACTTGGCTGAAGCTAGCTTGGGAGTGTCTCTGCAGGCTGCAGTTGTGCCTGACTGCAATTAGATATCTACACAGAGATTGCCCTAATAGTTGCTTTTTGTTCTCACTTTGACAACAAAAATACAAAGATACTGAAGGAAAGGAAAATTTAATAATGACAGTATACATTAATTCATGTCCCTCAGCAGAAACATTAACAACCTGTGGTCCAGTAACAGCATCCTTAGGTGCTGTCATACTCAAGAAGAGTAGGTCTTCCCTTCTAGCATGGCAGATTATTAGCCTGATCACTAAATTCACTGGATAGAGGCCTTGTTTGTTTTCTAGAATCTTCTATCTTTTCTTTAAAGGTGTCAGATACGCAAGGCTGGCTGGGAACTACCAGGAAACCTGAAAGACAAGTGACTAGAATGGTTGTTGTTATGATCGTCGCCTTTCTAATCTGCTGGATGCCATACGCAGCCTTTTCTATCCTAGTCACTGTATACCCCTCCATTGAGCTGGATCCTTGTCTGGCAGCAATTCCAGCTTTCTTTTCCAAAACAGCTACTGTTTATAATCCAATTATTTATGTCTTTATGAACAAACAGGTACTGTATGCTCTCAAAGTGTCTTTAATACTCATATTTTGTTATTTTTTCTTGCTTTATAATGGATTATTCCTACCTACCTACATGTTAGTTAACTAGCATAACAATATCCAGCATTCAGAGCTAAAAAAAAAATATTACTGTGTATCTACCTACTGGATGATAGCAAAAGCCTCTGTGCATTATTAAACTATGAATGTTAATAATTATTAAGTTTAGATATTTTAAGGGAAAATCAACCCTTAGTGAACATCAGTCAGTTTTCTGTATGAAAATTCTATTTTTAAGACTGTCACAGTATATTTTTATAATTCTTTAGGAATGCAACACCAGTGAGTTGAATTTGAGATGGGGTGGAAGTTTTCATTAGTTTGAACTTCTGTCAGGGTAAATGCTGTATTTGTAGGTACAGGGAAGGTAAAAGCATTGCATGTACCTATGGGACAGGGAGCTTTCTTCTCTGGAATGGTGGCAGAGAATTAGATTTAGAGAAGAAGAATTGGCAAGGGGAGGAGCCAGAGTGATGCGTGTTCACTGTGGTAACAGGCGTGATAATAAATCTGAATTGATTTATGCAATGAATGCAGCTATTAAGAGTGGTGGCATTAAACAGAGTAAAAGCATGTAAGTGAAAAGAAGAAAAATAGTGAAGTGACTGTTGAATAAGAAGTGATGAATACGTTTATTTATTCAGTCCTGCAGAGAGACCTATTGCTTGTCTCACATCCCATAGACAGTACTCTGATCTCCCAATGCATAGCAGATGTATGCTGGTCTTACCCTGCTCATAGATATGAATAACACTGAAACAAATGATCTTTGAACATCTGGGTAGTAGCATATGAAAGAAACTCATGAGCCCAGAGAAATGACAATTTCTGTCCATTAGATGTGGTTAGTAACAAGCAGAAGAGGAAAACTGTTTCTTAGAATAAGATTTACCATTATTCTGGGTCTTTTAAGAATGTCATTATTGCTCAGTTTTAGAGTTCTTCATGGTGGCACAGTAAAAATATATTTTATAGGGCTATTTCTTTATAATTCTGACTCATGAGAGAATTTCCAAGAGTTTTAGCTAAGATACAGGTTGCTTTACAGAGATATTTTAAAATTCCTTACGTGTTTTGATTGATCTCTTTTTTTTTCAACTTTCTAGTTCAGGAAGTGTCTGATTCAGATGTTCAGCTGCAGCGCCATAGAAACTGCAGAACCCAACATGAACCTGACTTCAGAGAGAGCAATCCTAACCCAGGACAAAAGAGGCAGTGAGATGTCCACCATGGCAGTACATAGCACCATTTCTAAGAGGAAAACTGGAGATGAACACAGAAATTGCCAGTCTTTTGCTCAGTTGGCATCTTCAGAAAACAAAATCTGTCACATGTAGGGCGGGAGATATGATCATTAATGCAGTGCTACACTATATTTCCTTGTTTCCATCACTTAATACAAATAAAATGTTGTCAGTGGGGACATGATGCTCCTGTGGACACAAGTTTTTGAGATTCCAGGCTCCTGAGTGCATATAAGAGTTTTTTGGCTCTGCAGTTGCAGTCAAACACCCAGTCATAAGGTGAGTCCCTTCCTCTACTGCATTCCTCTTCCCAATCCACAGCCTGCTCTCTCCTGAAAATAACATCAGAGGAACCCAGTGTTGCAATGATGGCATGTAACACAGGAAGGACAGGAGAGTTTTATGCTGGTGACACCTCCTTGGTCAACTGGACAAAAACACAAAATGGCACATTGCTTCAATATGTTAATGGACAAATAAATAATATACAGCACACAGCTGACTCAGTTTCAACCAATGGAGGTTCAGGGAGGAACAGTCTGAGTGCATTTTTGGTTTGTTTGGGTATTTTTACTAAAAAAGCAGAGAAAGCCGGAGGCTTCTGCACTTATGTCTGCCCTTGATGAGAACCTCATCTGGGCTACTAAAATCTCCAGCAGCTTGGATAAGCCATCCAGAATCCCAAGCACAATTTTATTAAAACAAACCCTATCAAGAGCTATTCATATCCTCTGTTTGCATTCCCTATTTGTCAAGAAAATCTGTGCTCATAGCAACTTTTGAAGTAAATTAATTTGGACTAGCTGATTGTCACAGGTCCCTTCCGACTGAACTATTATCTTTAGAACAGTAGTTAGTAGGTTATAGAAAAGGACAACTGTGCAGGGATGCTGGAGAAGAGTCCAGTAGCACAGCTTAAGAGTTGTGAAGCTGAGCTTTGTGGGGTAGAAGTTTTTCTCCATATATACTTGCACTGTTCAGAGCTAAGCTCCATCATATTCTTGAGACCATGTATCTCCAGGTGACAACTATTATTTCAATTTCTTAACAATTACAAAATTCAGGCATCAGTGGTTAGAGAATACAAATATTATGTATATGCTGGGCCACATTACTTTGGAGCATGTTGAATGCCAGTATTTCCATTTGTGCATTTTTACCTTTCTCACTTCTGAGCTAGGGCATGCCTCTCCAGAAAGCATAAGCAACATCCTAGCCCACTAGTAAGCAACTTGGAACAGCCAGAGGCACTGCACGGATGTTCTCCTTGGAGGAGCTGTTGTGCCTCTGTCTCTTCAGTTCTTAAATTCCTGTTGCCACCTAAATCATATCCTCACTACTTTTAACTGAGCTACTGATCCTGGCATAAATCATTAAGAAGATGTTATACCTTTGATATCAGAAGCAAGAAGTGCAACATAAATGCACTTTCTGTAAACAGTGAAAAAGAATAGAAATTGCCAGCTTTTTGTGTCTGTATTCCATTTCATATATTTAATTCACACAATGACATGCAGCAATATGCTTAACTTTAGTGGAATGTCACTTACACGCATGCAAAACCAAACTAGGCCATGACTGTAATAAAGACAGACTTCTGTTTTAAACATCCTTTGGTGAACATCATATGAAATGTTGCTTAGGTCTGGCATATCAGATTTTGAATCCTATGTAAGATTTATACTAAATTGAATGCATTTTAGAAGAAAAGGCAACAGCTGACTATATTTAAATGTTTTAGTATGGGAAACCATTATTTCTAGATAAGACATTAATAGAGCACCAGTTGAAACAAATGTTGCTCCATAGTGGTATAGAGAAGCTACACTAGCTATATACTATACAGGCCTTAGCAATAGAAATGTGATATGGAATGAATCATCCAGTGTTCAGTTTTACTTCAAAAAATTACAGTTTCTTTCCACAGAATAAAGACATTTTGTTTCTACCAGATTTTTCTCCTCTTTTTATTTTGTTATGTTACAGTTTGAAAAACTATATTGCCCTGAAAAGGAATGACAGGCTACCTGAGATATATTGGTCAAACCTAATGCCTTGCTGAGTTGGAAGTCAAGAACCATTCCTTCAGCAGGTGGAATGTTGGTGGATCAGGGAAAGGTAACACAGAAACTGTACAAAACATATCCTGAATCTTTGGTATCTTGCAAAGGCTGACTTCTTTGCAAGCCTCATCCTCAAGAGGAGGCAAAAGCTGCAGCTCCCTCCCAGGGTTGGAGAGACAGGCATGGGCAGCATGGCCCTGCAGCTGCTCTGGCCTTGGCATGCTCACATGGACTGCTTGGCCACCCGTTCCTGCTCGTGGCCCCTTGCAGCATTCACACAGACAGGCTTAGAGAGTAATTCAGCTCCTGTATTTCTGCACAGCCCTGGCTTTATGATGTATTTAGCTTTTGCTCTGTGAAGACAATCTAAACTCTGAAGCAGAAGTGACAGTAACATGTGGGAAAAAGCATGAGCTCTTCTCACCTCCTCCCTGTCACCAGACTTCTCATGGGGGTGTGTTTGGAGGGGGTGCCACCATCTGCAACCCTCACTTCTGAAGGCAAAGTGGAGCTTGGTGGAGGAGGAAGGGTAGGCTGCTTCAGGCAGTAGTGTATCTGACATCCAAGACAAACATGATATAATAGGTAACTATGCATACCTGCTTTAGGTAACTGCTGCTGATTTTTTTTTTCATCAAATATGTAAGAATTATTCAATAAAATCTTTCTGTTTAAAGATCCTTTATAAGTAGAAAGGTAAAATATGAGCCCTTCAGCAAATGTATTTCTGTAAAGATGTCCCTTAACACTCTAAGTGTTCAATTTCTTTAGTCCTCTTTTTCCCCTTTACCCAGCTTCCTATTGTTCTCATAGGATAGCTATGAGTGCAAAGGACCCAATCGTGCTCTTTGGTTTGCATCTTATAAAAGCCTGAGACACCTATTTGGACATTTCCCACAACATACGTCCTTTGCAGAAGACAAGGAGAAGTTGGAAAGTAATAGTGGTTGACCATGCAAGGGGTGAAGTGCACATGAAGTGCTGGCTAGCTCCTGCAGTTGGAGATCAAGTGTAATGACTGCAAGGCTGGAGGGCAGGACTGACATGAAGCTGAGATACTGGAGTTATTCACTGGAGTGAATGAGCAAATGTGGGGAGGGCGGGAGAAGTATCTATACCATTGATCCAGAAGAGATATCTGCATCATGGTGAGTTTTCCTTGCCCAGTGATAACTGCTGCCATGCCAGACAACACAAGGCATAGATGTGGTCTCCAGCAAGGGGCAAGGCATCAGGAAGAAGGCGCTGCTCAGCAAACAATACTTGGGAGCATCCAGGGGCTCCCTCTCTTTAGTCAGTCTGGTTAACTCTATTGTCCTACAGTTAATGGTGTAAGCCACTTGGTGCTGTAGGAATTGCATGTTGTTGGAATACCTTTTAACATTTCTCACAAAGGGTAGCCATGACTATGCCATCCAGGCCCCACCAGCCTTTAACCTGGAGGTGTCAAACTCTGTAGTTATGTGACAATTCCCTTTGCTAGAGAAATTTAGTTGCAAGACATAGGGAGATAATTTGTGACATTTTAAAAACCTAATTTTTAATACGCAATTGTTATACACTGTCATCTTCCTCTTAACTCATCCTAGACTCAAAATTAATCTGAATTTTATCCTTTTTATATCTTTCTGAGTAGAAGGATTGTTCAGATTCAAATGCCCTGATTTAATTTCAGAATGGTAAGATCCAAAGAGGGGAGTTGCTCTACAAATAACATCATGAGCTGCACATGTGTTGTGGTTTAGGCCTGATTGGCAGCCAGCCACAATGCAGCAGCTCCCCACAGGATACAGGGGGGTCTCTGCTCCGGCACACCTCCCCCCTCCTTTCTTCCTCCGTTCCCCCACTGACCTTGGTGTTCATGCAGCTGCAGCAACTCCTCCTCACAAGTCCAACTGCCCGTCACCACGTCCCTTCTTAAATACGTTATCGCAGAGGCGCAGCCGATTGGCTCAATTTCCCAAACAGAAGTGGAGCTGACGTGGAGCTGGGGGAGCTTCGAGAAGCTTCTCACAGGGGGCCGCCCCGATAGCCCCCTCCCCTGCCACCAAAAAACCCCACCACTCACTCAACCCAGGACATTATGTGAGAATTTACTGCAAGACATCTATGGCCTTCGTATTCATCTCACAAAATTTCATGAGGTGATTCTCTGTAACAGTATAATTTTGGCTGCAGTGGGCTTGAACTTTTGCATTGCTCTTAAGCCCAAACTATGAACCTCATTCAGACAGACACATCCTTTCATGATTCATGTTCTTTACCATTAATCCTGTGGGATCTAGAGGAGAAAAGTGAATATATAGAGATATACAGACATATATATATTCCTCTTTTAAATGTTTTGGAAATATTGTAAGACAGAAAGGATAAGGTATTCAATTATTATTTGTATGCATACTTTTGTGCTCATTAATCTGTTAAAACTGTGAGGTATGATTTGAAAGAAAAAATTTTTGCATTTAAGACTCAGATATTCTCTTTCAAGGATATGTTGACCTAGGTTAATCACATGTTAATGATATTGGATGTATTAAATCATGAAGAATTGGCAGAAGTGTTAATATTTAATTAAAAGCAACAGAATTATTTTATCTCCTGAGAAGGTGAGGATACGTATAGCTCTGTAGTACAAAATAAAGCATCAAAACGTGATTAATGGCAAAGAAAAACACAATGTAAAAATGCATGGAAAAACCTTAGAAAATAGAAAGTTAAAATGGCATTCACCATCTGATAAGCGGCTACATCATCCTCAATGCAAGTCACTCATGATGAAGTGGTACTGGTGAGCCTTTTAGATTATTTCACCAAAGAAAACTTGGGTTTCATCTATAAATTAACTGAGGACACTGGTTTGTAAAGATAGCCAAAGACAGCGTCTCCAACTAACAAAAATGAAAACACACCCATTTAATACACTAATAGCTGGTGTGAGGTTAGCTGTAGGTCACATTACCATTGTGCGTGGTGGGGTGGATAGTCTGACATCAGGCTTTGAATTACTGCACTCAAAACATTATAAGGAAGGGTATTCATAAAGGAGGTTTAGGGCAGTGCTCACATTTCAGCCACAGAGCAGACAAATAACCTTGGCTTTTTTATGAGGAAAAGGGAGAAC